CCTGGACTCTCCCATCCCCTAACCCACTCTGACCCCCGTGCCACCTACACACAGTGTTTTTAGTGTGTTTCTCAAGAAATGACTGATTTGACACAGGCTTCACCAGGGAAGCACCACACACTAAGACGAGGATTCCAACCCTCTTGAGCCAAAGGTGTGGGCAAAGCTGTTCACCAAACTCTGGCCCAGTCCACAGACCAACGCACAGAGCCCTGATCTAGAGAAAGGTCGTTAACATGTGCCTTCCAGGACATAGCCCACCAAACCAGCAGCTCCTCCGCCCTGGGCAAGCCCCCGGCAGGCCCTGGGGTCTTCTCCTGCGCCTGGGCCCCAGCTCCCCCACCAACCCCAGGCAGCATGTGCAGGGGTTCAGGCGGGACCTTGGGGGTCTGAGAGGGCTGGCTTCTAGCCCTAGTTCTTCTGCTTGTTTGGCTGAATGACCTTGGCCCTTCTCTTGGCCGTCTAGGGCCTCAGTTTCCCCACGTGGGAGAGATGACAGCGCCTGCCTCCTGGGTGCCTTGAGGAGGAGACACAGTGCCGCGTGTGCTTGGCACCAGCCTCGGAGGGTCTCCATGACGCTGCAGCTCTGGGGTGCGGCTGGCTCCTTCTGGCCCCCACTTGGCCTTGTCCTCCAATAGGCTCAAACCTGGGAGCAAGAAATCAGGACTAGACCTGTAAAATACCAAAGGTCCAGGGTCTTCACTGGGACTTGCCTCGAGTAGCCAGAGCTGGTAGGAAACAAGGATCTGCCCTTCTGCAGCGTGTCTGGTCCAGCCTGTTCATTCATCCTCTCATCCTGATCATTTGCTCACCGGGCACCCCTCAGCATCCCCTGAGCATCTGCCATCTGCACTGAGGTTGTCCCCAAGCCTCTGTGGGTGGGGACCCAGACTGAGGCCAGATGGGCAAATGGGAGGGGGAGAGGGAGTGTCATGCAGGTCCTGTGGGAATACAGGGTGCTCGGACACCACCATACACCTCCCTGAGGACCCTTACCCCTTTGCATGTGGGCCATGAGGACATGTCCCTGTGCAACAAACACTCTGGTTACATTCTCAGGGAAACACCTGGAGTCTCTCAGGACAGTCCGGGTTTTTCCCTGGACTCCCCAAAGGCTTTTCCAGGAGGTCAGGGCTGTGCGTGTGTGTGCACGTGTGTGTGCGTGTGTATGTGAATGCACTGGACACCGGGCTGCGTGTGATCCTCCATGGAAGGCCGGGTACTCGTGCTCCAGGTGAGGCAGCTGGTCAGCCCGCCTTCTAAGGAGGCACCAGAACTCCAGTGGCATGGTGCTGTGTGTTGCATACGAGGTAAAGACCCGACGTCCTTGGCTCAGCTGGTGCCTCTGCGTCAGCACAGGTCCATTCCTCTCTCCACATTGACTTGCTGATCGATTTTATTGACCTAAGCTCAGGCATGTGACCAGATCACAAACGGAAGCAGTTTTCACTGAATTTCTGCTATTCGGGTTCCAATGACAGAAACCTACTTAAGGACATATTAGCAGAAAACAAGCACAACCACCACTTCAACTTTGTGTGGCTTGGTTTTTGGGTTTCAGAGCCTGGGAAATCAGATCAACCTGGATCAGTCCTGTTCTTGGTTTATATTTAAGAGAAGAAATGAGCCCTGCGGGCGCAGCGTCCTCTGGTGGAACAGTAGAGCTCTCAAGGAGAGCGTGTGCACAGGCTGTGGAGTTGCTGCGTACATTGGGGTCCAGCGCCCCAAGGGGCAGTGGTCGTTTGTCCCCCACATGCTGTGCTGCTTCTGAGGAGACCATGGCCTCACTGGGACAGGGGTGGGGTCCCTGACATTCTGAGAACTTCCTGAGCACTGAGCAAACCCCAGGGGCTTAGAAGGCATTTGCCAAATTGAGCCCAATTGGATTTGAGGGCTGTAAAGAGCAGTGGCCTGCCTGAGCCTCAGGGTGGCCTTGGCACCTGGCCACGTGGCCACCTTCCCCTCCCCCAGAGGCGTGCTCAGGAGATAGTCCACGTCCAGAATTAGCACCTTGGTGACTCAGCCCCTGAAGTGTGCAATGCCCTCTGGAGCCCCGTGGTGGACATTAAAAGGTCATTGCCCATCCTGGTCATTAGCCAGGGTCACACTGAGTCCTCCTGCTGCTCGCTGTGCCCCAGAGTCTCACCAGAACCTGCTACAGCACCAAGGGCGCCTGCATGAGGGAGAGCAGAAAACCGGGAGGCCCAGGAAGCACCACTCAGGAGGTCGGAGTGCTGCCGCGTGCACCGTCCGCTCCCCACCGGGCTGCTTTAGTGAGGGTCAAGCATCTTTCTTCAAGCCTTGCCCAGGGCTCCGATTCCCAGAGTGATCCGCATCAGCCTCTGAGAAGGACCCTAGACCGTGCATCCAGTCACTGACAGTCGATAGAGCTGTGTGCCCAGGCGATTGGGTCATTGCTGAGAGACCCTCTTAAGCATTCAGGTGGGGAACATTAGTCTCTCATCCTGCTGCAGCTTCTGCCCTGGGAGCGCTGATGGCAGTGTAGGGTTATTTATGGGTTCTGTTTGAAGGACGTCAAAATTGATTTACAGTCCAGGTAAAGTCAAAGGAAAGTCACAGGATAGAGGAAGTGTCTTTATCTGATTATCCCAGAAGAAAGCTCTGGAGAACTCCCAAGATGCCACCCTCAGAGCACAGGCCCCCTCCTGAGCAGCCCTCCAGGGTCCCAGGTAGCCGGCCCACCTGTTCCCTGAGGTGGGCTTCACAGGCAGGGGCCCAGGGATGCCAGTGGGGGACAGGCAGAGGCACCGCCCCCTCCAGGCTTTGTGAAAATGGAGGATGTGTCTCCCTCCCTCACCCTCCTGCACCTCCAGGTGGAACACAGCCCCGAGGGGCATCCTTTGGGCTCTTGTGAAAGGCAGGTCCTGAGAAGCACGTCCTGCTGATAGTCCTACGGGAGAAGCCCTGACCCTGAGCCAGGCTGTCTCCCTCAGCAGGGACTGTGCTTCCTTCCCCACTGTCCTGGGAGCACCCCTGCAGTGTTACTGCTGGCCTCTGCCTTCTCCCTCCAGGAAATGCAAGACCCAGAGAGGGCGCTGACTGACAGGCGCTCACGTGCAGCAGAGGAGCAGGCAACAGACATTGGCTGCCATCAGCAGCCGGGAGGAGTGGCCTCTCAAGAGTGCTGAGGGTCGGTGTGGCGACAGCAGGGCTTCCCAGGGTCGGTGACCACTGAGGAGCCCACCAGGGGAAAGCTGAAGTGGACAGAAAAGAGAGCAGGGCACCTGCCCGGGAGAGCCACATGGACAAGGCCCTGGAGAGGTCAGAGAATTAGAAAGAAACCCTCATCACTCCAAAGTCACCTGACGGTTTTGACAGTTTTGACACCTGAACATGTTCAGTAATGCCAAGACACAATAACGATAACAAGAGTGGACGCTAACCCGAGTGGCCTTCCCAGCAAGCAGAGCTCACCGTCCACACTGACTTCATGTACCTCCACAGGGACCCGGTCAGACACGGGTGAGAGAGCTCCAGAGACTGGGGGTATGGAGGCGCATCCGTGTGCCTGTGAGCTGTCGACCATGTACATCTGCGGAGGTTCAACCTCTGTCCTCAGGGCACTTCTAACTTAGTCATGAATGGCTGGGTCTCTAGTGAGAATGTGGTTTAGGTGAAGAACCAAAGACTGTCACCAATGAAATGGTCTCAGTGTGGCTTACCTGGTAATTTTTAATGAATTAAGGATTCAGTGGTGTCATATCTTATTTGAAGTGACAGTTACCACAAGGGTAGGAAAAAATAATTATTGGTGATTTTTGAAGCTCATGAAGAATCGCGGGACACTGTAGGTCATCACCGCCCTGAGATCAGGCAGAGGAGCCTTCAGCTCTGCCCTTGGTCTTCTGCACCCTTCATGCACTTGCCACCTGTCAGCTTGCTGGGGCTTCGTGGGCTTCTTCTTTAAAGACAAGAAGGATGGTTCTCTTTCCTGGGGAGAGAGACTTATCCCATGTCCGTCTGGCGATGCCCACTTCACCATCTGGCCCAGCTACAGCAGCCCTGAGCGTCCTGCTCTCTGAACGGGTGTTGGTGAGAGGGCTTGCTGTTCATTAAGTAGATTCCAGAATGGCTCAGGGTCTGCAAAGCTTCTGAGAAGCTTCCTTGCATCTTCAGCTGTCCTGGGTCTGCCTGGGAAAGGAGGAAACTGACTTCTCACAGGATAAGCTCTTCCCTTTTTATTCACCTTCAAAAGGGCACCATTCATAATTGGGATTATGCAAATTAGCATCGCCACATAAGAATTTGCAGTTGTCCCTTAAGAGACCTACTGAAGGCCAGCAGGCTCCTGGTTCTCCCTGTGACCTGGGTTGAGCATGGCTGTGTCCTCAGGAGGCCCCTTGCCTGTGCCATCCATCCCCTGAACATCAGGTCTTGCCCAATAGAGCCAAGCAGGAAGCCAGAGTGGCCCCACCAGGACTGGGATACAGTGTGTGTGTGTGTGTGTGTGTGTGTGTGTGATTCCTGATGAAATCAAGGTCAGCATGTAATACACAATGGGCACGGGTCTTTAGCCATGTTCATGTCAGAGCCCCAAAATGGATTACAAAGCCATTGGCACAAACCTAACGGATTCCCACATGCATTGGGGATGATTCTGCTACTGTTGGCTTCGAGAAGAGGCAGGGTGCTGACTCCCAAGACACAGCGCCTTGCTCCTCTGTCCCAACCTTCGGCTCCCCCACCCTTTACTCCAGGAGTGGCAGTCTCCACTTGGGAAGGTCAGTGAGGCCAGCCAAGCATGGGGGAGCCATAGTTCTACTGCCCCAGTGGCCAGAGGAAACCTGACCTGGGTGCCCTCATAGTCCGCAGTGCAGCTGAGAGGGGGAGCCTGGCCCTGTCCCCCACTGAGCGCTCCCTCCAGCCTGGCAACTCCACATCCCCCCACCCCCACCAACACCCCAAACTCAAAACTCCTCCTCAGCTCCCACAGGCTCCCGGTCACCCCCTTTCCCAAGGTGTTCTGTCTGTTCTCCTCAGAGACATCAGACATCTCTGAACACACCTGGCCTGTGTGTGTGTGTGTGGGGGGGGCAGGCAAATCTCTGTCCCTGTCAGCCTTCCACTGACCACCAGGGCAGGTACCTCCAGAGTTTTGAAGAGTGTGCTCTGAATTCAGTTTCCTGAACCCTAAGACTCCTTCCAGTACCTCAGAGATGCCGCAAGTGCATCAGTCCAGACAGGCAGGGCCTGTGTGCACAGAGGGCAGCTGTGGGGCTGTGCTGCCCGGCCCCGGACGGACCTCAGGCTGCAGAAATGTGGCACCTCCTCACCCCGCGCAGTTCTGTCCAGGCAGCCAGTACCTCACCATCTCCAGCCATCCTGTCAGTCAGTCCAAGGCAGAGGGTGTTAGAGGAGAGGAAGCCAGAGCCCAAGTAGCCAGCACAAAGCAGTCCCTCCTGCCTCCTGCTTCCTGCCTCCTGCCTACCTGCCTGCGCTCCAACCCACCGGCCCCAGTCCTCGCCCCATCCATCCTGGTGGGGGAAGAGGCACAGGACAACAGCTCGCTCCGGGGAGCCAGCTCCTGCTTGTCGGTGAGTCCCCTGCCTGGGCCCAGGAGGACACCCTAAGCCACCGCAGGCCCTTGTTTGGTGACATTCAGCCAGGTCTGGGAAACACCAAGCTTCCCATCCTCCTTTCTTTCTAGCTATTTTCTTTTCCTTTTTCCTTCTTGGTGCATGGACTTCTTTGCCACTCTCCTTTCAAAAATATGTCCGTGATTTTGCACTTAGACAAATGCAATTACCTTTGTTCAAAAGCAATTAAGTTCCAGTCTTCACCACGGAGATAACAAGCCCGTCCTTGGCACCTTTTTCTTTTTAACAAGCAAAGCCCACTCTGCAGAGGCAGGGATCACTGTGGAGATGTCTGAAACACAGTCTATGAATTTTACTGTTTTACTATTATTTAAATATTCCACCCATGTAAGTATATTCACACCTAAAACTTGTGAACTGGCTGGACTTTGCTGCTTCTTCACCATGAAAAGGCATCATTTTGTCTGCATTTTTGTTTTTCCCCAATGTGTTAAAGAATAATCGTCTTGTCCTGGAGCCACACCTTCCTGATTTCATATAAAACAGTTTCAGTGGTTCTAGACAAAGACACTTAGAGCAGGGAGCCCCCAGCTGCAGATTCTTGTCTCTGGACAAGGCTCAGAGGAGGGCCTTCTGCCCGAGCAGGTTCCAAGAGGCAGGATGAAGGCTGGTGGGGGCGATCATGGTACCTGGACGGTGGCCCAGAAGGGATGGCTAGTTCAGATTATTTCAGAAAGTGGCACTGTCCTTCCGGCCTGCACTTCTGTGGCAAGGCCCGAGGCAACTCTCTGTCTGTGCTCACTGTGGCTGTCCCCCATCAGGCTGCCTCTGGGGTGGAGGCAGGCCCAGTCCCCAGGACCCAGCCCTTGCTAGCCAGCGTCCCACGGATGCCCATTAAGGAGAGCCCTGAGCCCTAGGTGAAAAGGAAGCCCTTGACACTGTCTGGCAACATCTGTTCCTGTCTATAGTCATCCAAGTGGAGGCTAAGGACTTTCCACTCTGGACATTTGGCAGTAGGTTAAGGGGTCCAGCCCACCCTCTGGACCTTCACTCTCCTGCCTAACCAGGACACTCCGGGCAGCGTTTGTGCAAAGGGGAAATGCATGTTGGGAAAGGGCTGAGGCGTCCTGTGATGGGTACGATGGCACTCGCTATATCCACAGTCTCGATGTTTCTTGGCGTGTAGATGGGACTTCAAGGGACCCCAGATTGAGAGCATCTGAAAGGGGATGTTGTGTCTTTCTCTTTTGCTGGTGGAAGGACCCTAAATGAACAGGAATGGAGAGAGAGCCTTGTCTAGCCGGGGTACTCTCTGCCTTCTGCTCTAGACAGGCACTTGATGGCAGGTGAGGAGTCCGCTCACCTCTGGATGTTCACTCTCCCCTAACCTATGCTTCATTTCTGGGGAAACCTGATTGGCCACCCTCTCCCCATTCCTTGGCACTGTGGCACCACTGCAGATCGCGGGGGGCTACCCGGGAGCCGTCCTTTCCCCTGTGCTCACAGCTCAGTGAGCTACTGGAGGGCAGAGATGGGACAGTATTCAGCTTTGCACCTCCAGGCCCTAGCAGGCTGCCTGACCCCAGCCATTGCCCAGCGAAGAGTACGGAAAACGCATTCAGTAGAATTAAAAAAAAAAAAAATGGTTTCTATTCAAATGGATAGCTGGGAAACTTTGAGGCAAATAAAAATAAAGTCTGCTTTGGAAGGAGTATACTATTTTGATCTTCTATTCTGGAGATCACATATGCTTTATGCCCCTCACACATCGTTTGGCACCCAACAGATACTGTTTAAATACAAATCCTTAAACTTCAGCATGGATTTAATTCCTATTTCAAACACTATTTCTGAACAGTTTTATGCCTGTGCTTACCAGGTGGCTTGCACAAGCCCTACGAGAGTGGATGGTGGGGGATAACAGGCACGGAGTCATTGGTCTTGGACTCTAAGTGGGACTATAAAGGGACTCCAGATAGTGGGACAGGTTTTGAAGTCTGCAGAGTTTATCGCCCTCTGCTGGTCATACCGGGAAACTCGCCTGCTGCTCCGTTTGAGTTTCTGCAGACCTGGATGTCAGAGAGGAGTGAAATGATCTTCCTCATTCTCAAGAATGTCCGCCCTCCTTAGGCGAGCATCAGGAGAGGAGTGTTATCAAGTTAATGCATGAGATGGGGGAAATGTTTCTACTAGGAATCCTGCATCTCTGGAGTTGTATTAAGCCAGTTAATACTTCCCAATCGATTACTCGGTAATTTGCTCAAGTATATTACAAGTATCATGGCAGCCTGCAGTGACAGATTTTAAAAGAGATGTTCAGCACTGCCTGTCATGGGAGGCCCAGGGCAGCCTGGGTGGTCTCGAGGGCTGTCATCTCCAGCCCTGGGTTCAAACCATGGTCCTCTCCCGACTCTGGGCCACCCCCTTCCCCTCTCAGAGCCTCCATTCTTTAGGCCTGGAGGTCTACTGAGCTGACAGTACCCATGTGAGGGGCCTAGCACGTGTAGGCACTGGCTTAGGGGACAAGAGCCATTTGTGTGTACGTGGCTCACTTTGTAAACCTAAACTGTGTGCTTTGGAAATCAAAGAGGAGAGATGGGCAAGTGCTGATTGTCACTGTCCTAGTGGCCTGGGTTAACGGGTACAATATGCACCATCGTGGCTTCATCTTAGTGGTGGTGATGGCTGAGACGTGATTCGGTTTCCACGCTCGTTCCCGCATCTTCCCTAATAACACTACTGTTCACTGTGCCAACGGCCTGAGTGTTTCTTGGCCTCGGTTCTGAGACCAGCTCCATTTGCATCCCCCAGGGAGGCCTCGGATAGGAAGGTGCCGATAGTGGGCTAAGTGGATGGGGCTCAGTGGACAGGACCCCTCCCCTCAACCCTCGTTTACCTTGTAAGCACCAAGGCCCACTGGGCAGCTTCTGCCGCCCACCACCTGCCAGTGAGTCCTCCTGTGAGGGCGCCTCCAGCTCATCACAGGTGCTGCCAGCTCCACTGATCCCCCAGCGGGGATCTGAGGTGACTGCACCTGTGTGTCCCTAGTGTGTAAGGGCCTTTCCTTGTGTGGGGGCACTTTGCGGTTGGGTCTGCCCCATGCGCCCACCTGGACACGCAGTGAACACTCGGCTCCCTTAGCGAGGTGCCCCCTCGACACCCAGCAAACCCCTGGCTTCCTTCACCAGCTCTGTCGAGCAGGAGCTTGCCTCCACTTCACCTGAGGGTGAGCACATCAGACGCAAGGGCCAGTGGGAGCCGCCAGGGCTGGACCAGGGGTGCTGACACAGCCAAGAACAGGGAAGACCCTCGAAGCCAGCCTGTGAGCTGCCTTCCAAGCCCAGGGCCTCTGAGCTGGGCCTTGACGGGAGTGAGACCCCCCAGGCAGCGTGGGGGGTACCAAGAAGCGGAGGGAAAGCACCTGCCCTGCTGGGTGCCATGAGGTGGGAGTGGCAGGGAGGGCCGTCAGCAAGAGTGGGGGGCCAGAAGGCCAAGGACCCAGGATGCCAGGTGGGCTGTCCAGATGTGGGTCCTGGCAAGAGGTGTTGGCATGGGCAGGCATCTGGGTTCAAGTGTCCCCCGGCCCTTACCAGCCATCAGCAAAACTGGACCCCTGAGCCTTGGGTGGCTCCTCTGACTGAACCCAGTCAACATGATGACATCACCGTGGAGGGGTGGGGAGAAGATAAAATGAAAGCAGCAGGCAGAGTTCTTGGCTCAGGGTAAACCTCAAATGGGGCTCGTCCCCATCCCGGCCATGAGACACTGCAGGCGAGCCCTCTGAGCCTGTCCCTGTCCTTGCAGGTTCACCATGGAGCCCTTCTGTCCACTCCTGCTGGCAGGTTTTAGCTTGCCACTCACCAGAGCGCTCAAGAGCAACGAGACCACCACAGCGGAGAGCAACTGGACCAGCACCACTGCAGGTGAGGAGCCCCTGCTCTTAGCTGGCCTGCCAAGGCCCCCACTGCCACCCCTGGGCACCTGGGAATGACAGGTGGTCCAGGGTGGTAAGGGCTGGTGAGAGGCGAGAAGGGTGTGGCTGGCTTTCTTAGTGTGCTCCCGACAAACAGGCAGCTGGGTGAGCTGCTGTTCAGCATTTGACTGAAGCCAGCTTAGCCCCAGGTGCTGGTCCTCAGCCCCCGATGAAGGCTGGTGGCCGCCGTGGTGGGAGGCAGGAGAGCAGAAGGGTTAAAATTTCCTTGGTGCAGCCAGGTGCAGTGGTGCACACCTGTGATCCAGCAGCTGGGGCAGGGGGCGGGGTGCTGAGGCAGGAGGATTGCAAGTTCAGAGGCAGCTTTAGCAACTTAGCAAGGCCCTAAGCCACTCAGTTAGACCTTGTCTCAAAAAAAGTAAAAAGGGCTGGGATGGGGCTCAGTGGTTAAGCATCCCTGGGTTCAATCCCTGGTACCAAAAAAAAAAAAAATCAATGGTGCTGCCCCACTCACACAGGGTGGAGTATTATTTTCTATTCTCCCACATTCTTTATAGTTTAAAAGTTAAACAAAGAGAAAGAAAAAGAGTACATGTAATAGCACGGAGGAACCTTTAGAAACAAGCCCAAGCAACCCAAAAGACCACGCTGTATGATTCCATGGTATGGAGTGTCCAGGTGGGAGGAAATGTCCACCCGGGGCTTGGGTGGGAGGGGCGAGTGACCCAGAGGCAGGCGAGGTCTTATGGGGAGCATGGACATGTGCTAACTGGATTGGGCGAGAGGTACACAACTCCGTCGTGATCCAACAAACATCACGGACTCAGACACTTAAAGGGGGTGTGCTGTATGGCATCTAAGTGTTACTCCATGAAACAAACAAATGCAAAGTTAACGGGAGGCAGAGGAAGAGAGGAAGCAGGGAGGGAGGTGAGCAAACCCTCTCCAGTCACACTGCCTGGCTCTGAACTCCACCTCTGTCGGTGTTGGCTGGGTGTCCTTGGGTAAATCACAGAGCCCCTCTGTGCCTCAGTACCCCACTTGGGAGGTGGAGATGACAGCAGTGCCTGCTATTGAGGGTGCAGTGAGTATTAGAGATCAGTGCTCTGGAACATTCCCTGGACCACAGAGGGCTCATCCGCACTGGCCTTTGTGATCAGCAGGGAGCATGGGGCAGGGTCATCTGGCCCACCTCATTGCCTGCAGTGGAACCTTGATTCTTCAATCCCCTCCCTAGCTGACACAGGAGACCTAGGCCAGACTGGGTGAGTTCAGTTCCCCAAGGGGCTGACACAGTTCCCTGGGCAGCCTCCGTGGGCCCCGGGTAGACTTCTAGGCCCCTGTGGCTGCAGAGCCCCTGGTGGTGACCATCAAGGCTGGACCCTCTCACACACCTCTTGGGCCTTCCCGCT